CCTGCACTCTCCAGGTGCTCTCTTTCCTCCTCTGCTGAGCCTGCACTCTCCAGGTGCTCTCTTTCCTCCTCTGCTGAGCCCACACTCTCTAGATGCTCTCTGTCCTCCTCTGCTAAGCCCACACTCTCTGGGTGTTCTCCATCCTCCTCTGCTGGCTCAGAGGTGTGAGCAGTGCCGCCCCCAGGCCTGCCTGTCTGTTTCTCCCACAGCACCACAGAGACCTCAGCTTTGACCCATCTTCTTTCCTTCGCAGTCACAAAATCCAAATGCCCTTCTTACGTGGGTGTTACCGGAATCCTTCTGCAGGAAACAAAGCACGTCTTCAAAATTATCACCAAAGAAGACCGCCTAAAAGGTATGTAACCATGTCTCTTCGGACACAGTGGGCTGTGACCTCCCCAGTCACTACATCAGCCCTGTCCCTGAGGCTGCAAGAGTCCAGTGTGTCCTCTTGAGTCCGCCCAGATCACAGATACTTACTGAGCCTATGCTGCCAGCCTGCAGAGACCATCCCCTGCCCCCCTGGCTGTCCCCAGGGGCATTTGTGAGCACAGCCAGCAGTCCCTTGCCCCCCGGCTGTCCCCAGGGGCATTTGTGAGCACAGCCAGCAGTCCCCTGCCCCCCTGGATGTTCCCAGGGGCATTTGTGAGCACAGCCAGCAGTCCCGGCCAGAAACAGCCAGTGGAGAGGAAGAGGTGCTTGGTGGTACCTCAGGAGACTCGGGTATACAGTATTTGGGTCCTGGGACTGGGGCCCTCCCTTTGCCCTCAGGATGCCGCCTTCCAAAGGAGTCTAACTAAACAGATCACAAGGAGGAAGCCACAGCACCACCTGTTCCTGGAGTCTGGAGGGCTGTGTCCTTGGTGGTGACACTCGGGGTTCCATCAGTGCCTGCATCGCTGTTATGGATGCTTTGGGTCATCCAGGGTGTCTGCATGTGGCCTCGCCCACCAGTCCAGAGCTTCTAAACTGCACTGGGAAGGTCTTGTTCCTCCAAGTTTGCCGGCTTAGCACCTCTGTGGCTTCCTCCCATGTTCCCGTCCATCCTTCTGCTTATGTCATAAACCTCAGAAAGTGGGGTTGGAGTTTCCCACCAAGCATAAGGCCCATCTGAAAGTTACACCGGAACACTGTTCTTGCTATTGTTCCAGGAGTTTCTGTTCTGGGATTTTGGTTCATAGCCTTTGACCCTGAAAAGTTAGGTGTTAAGTTATACTGAGGGGCTCGGCACCTATAGCTCAACCGGCTAAGGCGCCAGCCACGTACACCTAAGGTGGCGGGTTCGAATCCCCAGCCCGGACCCGCCAAACAACAATGACGGCTGCAACCAAAAAATAGCTAGGCGTTGTGGCGGGCGCCTGTGTTCCCAGCTACTTGGGAGGCGGAGGCAAGAGACTCGCTTGAGCCCAGGAGTTGGAGGTTGCTGTGAGCTGTAATGCCATGGCACTCTACCCAGGGGGACAGCTTGAGGCTCTGTCTCAAAAAAAAAAAAAAAAAAGTTATACTGAGGATGTCACATTGTCCTTACAGGAGAATAATCACGTGTGACCCCAGCTGCCACCCTTGTGGGTTTCCCTGTTTCCTCCTAGCTTATTTTTTAGTGCAAATGTTGTATGAATAGTGTTCTACCTAAAAGTAAACTTACTGCTGGGTTTTTTCCTCATCTTTTTCTCCAGTTATCCCCAAGCTAAACTGTGTGTTTGCTGTGGAAATTGATGATTTTATTTCCTACATTTATGGGAGCAAATTCCAGCTTCGTTCGAGTGAGCGGTCTGCAAAGAAGTTCAAAGCAAAGGGAACAATTGACCTGTGAATTCTTTGCTCCCTCATTCATGACACCTGAAAACTGGCAACTCTCAGCGAAGGGATGACTGAGCCGACTGGTCAGAGGCCACCTCCAGCCATGAAAATGAGAGCTAAGGACATTGTGTGACACGGGAGGACACGTAGTATGCTGAGCTCAGAAGTCAGGGGACAGGGGGGTGTATATTTCTGAGTGATCTCAATTTTACATTACTCTCCTGAAGAGACAGGACCAGCAGAGCACATAGGACGGCACTGGTGCTAGTGCAGCAGGATGGTCAGGGGTCTCTCTGTCAGACTCCTCTGAATGTTCTGTGATACATCAGTTGTAACTGTAATACAGCACTAATGCAGGCACGGACAGGCTTCCAGTAAGGACTACTCCTGCAACTCAGCCACATTGAGAGGGAAGGGGATCCCCAACACTGCACCTGATGGCAGGTGTTCAACAAAAAGAAAAGTAAAAAACACAGTCCACGCACAACTTTGGGTTAAACTCCTTGACCTAACCAGGGTTGACTTCACTGTTTGAAGAAAGCTGGAGGGGATTAAATGATGAAGTGGCTCAGTGATTCGGCTCTCTCACTTCACAGATCACCCCTGGGTGGACCACAGAGGAAAGACGTGCGTCTAGTTGTGCTTATTACTGGTGGCTCACCCTGTACTCCCAGCACTGTAGGAGGCCCAGGCAGGAGGATTGCCTGAGCTCAGGAGTTAAAGACCGGCCTGAGCAAGAACAGCCCATCTCTACTAAAAACAGAAAAACGAATCAAGCGTTGTGGTGGGAGCCTGTACTCCCAGATACTTGGGAGGCAGAGGCAGGAGGATCGCTTGAGCCCAGGAGTTTGAGTTTGCTGTGAGCTAAGCTAAGGCCACAGCACTGTATCCTTGGTGACAGAGGGAGACTCAAAAGTTCCAGTATACGCAGATTAGAAGTACAGCAGCTTTCTCGTTCCTGAGTCTGTAGACTCCAAAGGCAGGTAGGCTGAAAGGAAGTAGGACTGTTCCTCTCCACAGCCAAGCCTGCTAGGAAGGCCAGGCTCCAGCAAGTAAGACTGTTCCTCTCCACGGCCAAGCCTGCTAGGAAGGCCAGGTTCCAGGATGGGCACCGTCGATGTCTTGGTGACAGTTTTGCTACCAAGAGACTCAGTTTTTCCATCTGATTCTCAGTCTGTCTTGTGATGTGTCCATAAGGCCAGGGGATGGGGCTCTTGTGCCCAGGACCAGAGTAGAGGCAGCAGGATAAACTGGCCTTCCACCCTCTGGTCTTAGAAAGCCAGGTGGGTCAGAGGCCTGATTACCCCTTTGGGGGAGGCAAGTATCTGCTGACCCAGGAGGTGAGGGCAGACTCTCCTGGCCACAGGCAGCAAGTTCCCATGCCCTTTGTCCCACCAGGAGAAGCACTGGTGCCAGAGCCTTCACTTACCAGCTCTCCCATCCATCTCCACACTGGTGAGGGGCACCGTGGAGGAGGGAAGTCTCAGCAGGTCTTTAGATCAGGAGAGCTGAGCGGCCCAGCTCTGTGTGCCCACACCTCCCAAGGGCTCACAGTGTTCCCCGAGTGCACCAGCCCAGGGCCCATCTGTGCTGCTGCCTGTGTGCGTACCCACTGCTCAGAGGGGCACATCCATGCAGCAGGGTCCCCCCAGTGCAGTCTGCCTGTGATGCACAGTGTACGTAGGCCACTGACAGAGCTCAGGACCTGGCACCACCTTGGACAGGCAGCCCAGCCATGAGCCTGTGTGGCTGCCCCGTCCTCACTTTGCCACAGGGAGGCTGAGATGCAGAGGGGTCACTTGCCCACGGCCTCCCTGAGGGGTGGAGTTGGGGCTTAGTGATCTGGCTTTAGAGCTGAGGTTTCAACTACCAGGCAGCTGCAAGGCTGCGAAAGACACTCTCCTAAGTGACGGAGCGTGATCCCTCCACTACCTGCTTCCCGCTGCGGAGACCTTTTATCTTTGTGTGAAAGTGGCTTCTCTCTCCCTGACCATCTGAGAGCCCCACACTGCAATAGCGCAGGTGCTGGAGCTCGAAGCCACACCACCCTCTGCAGTGGAAAAGGCATCCAATGTCGTGTAAATACACAGTTGCTTCCCAAAAAGTTGTTGGTACCACTTGCCATGTGAAATCTGTTTTTCATTTGGCGCAGACTCAAGTTCTTATGCGAGTGGCTGTTTAATTTGCAGGCTCCACTCCCCCTCTTCCCAAGGAGACTCGGTGGGGGTACCCACCTGCCAGGAAGCTGCACTGTGCGGCCACCTTCCCAGGGCCACTGCGTCCTGTGTCCCAATGCCCACACTGTCCTCCCAGGTGGAAGGGGGCCAGGCTGTACACCATTCCTGATGAAGCTGTGTGGAGCAAGCCCTGAGGCCCAGGGAGCGGGGACAGCCATGCGGTCCCCAAGGGCTGTAGCACAGGACTTGTCCTGAAGGGTGATGCAGTACTTTCCAGTCCAGTGTCTCCCATCTCCCTTGCCTAAGGGACAGGACCTAGCAGACCTGAGGATAACTGATTTGGCCTCATGGAAATGTTCACACCAGAGAAAACTGCTCCAGAGGGGCCCCTAGAGAGAATGGTTGACATCTCGAGACAGAACACAGGAGGCTTCGGGGCAGGAAGCATCAGCCCAGTGACCCTCTGTTCTCTGAAGAGGGAGCAAGCCCTGGGCCCTGTATGGCTCCCTGGAGCTGCTCTGGCCTGTAGAGGTGGGGACAGGAGGCAGAGGGTGAAGCCTGGAGGGGAAGGTGAGGGCAGTGTGGCTCGTGGCTGAAGGATCAGTCTGCTCAGGCCACTGTCGCAAACTGCCTCAGACTAGGGGCTTCCAAAACAGATTTATATTTTCACAGTTCTGGAGACTAAAAGTCTGAGGTCAAGGTGCTATCAGGGTTGGTGTCTGGAGAGGCTCAATCCCTTGACAGAGAGGAGGGATCTCTTGCTGTGTCCTCATAGGGCCTTTCTGTTTTGTTTTTTGAGATAGAATCTCGTTCTGTCACCCTGGGTAGAGTGCCCTGTTTTCATCATAGCTCGCAGCAACCTCAAACTCTTAGGCTCAAACGATCCTCCTTGCTCAGCCTCCTGAGTAGCTGGGACTATAGGTGCCTACCATGACACCCAGCTAGTTTTCCTATTTTTGGTAGAGACAGTCTGTCTCTTGTTTAGTCTGGTCTTGAATTCCTGAGCTCAAGGGATCTTCCTGCCTTGGCCTCCCTGGATGCTGGATTTACAGATGTGAGCCACCAGGCCTGGCCCCAGGGCCTTTCTTTATGAGCAATGACTTAGACTTCTGGTATTTCTCCCTCTGATCCTGGTGAATTAGGTCCCCACCCTAATGACCTTGTTTGATCATCCCTCCTTAAAGACCCATCTCAAATGCAGTCCCATCGAGATCAAGGCTTTAGCGTATGAATGGAGATAGGAGTACAATTCAGTTCCTAAGAGCCGTGGAGCCTTCCCAACCAAGACAGGCTCTCTGTGCCTCTTGGGAAGGCTCTGAAACCCAGCCTGGCTTTCTGGTACCCTCAGAGGGAGCACTTGGGCTACCAGCCACTTCACCCAGCCCAGGCACCAGCCACTGAACTCACATGACTGTTGGATTCCGTGGCTTGGTCAATCAGGGACGTAGGGCCAGGGCTGCTCCCTCACACCCAGAACCCTGGGGTTGCTCAGTTACCCTTCACTTTCACAAACAGCAGAATTCTCCCTCACCACTGGGGCCAGGCACAGTCTGGCTGGGGGAGGCAGAGGAGGCTCCATGGACAAGGGGCTCCAGATGTGGCATGTGGAGGTCATAGTCATACCACGGCTCAGGACAGGAACCTGCAGAACCATCAGGGACCCAGGAGTCAGAGGAAAACTGCGAGGATCTTCCCACTGGGCTCAGGCCAGGCTGGAGGGAGGCAGGAGGGGGTGTGTGGCTGCCTGTGTCACCCATAGATGTCTGCAGACCCGCCAGCCTAGTGGGAGGGGAGAGGTGCAGGAATTGCTAAAGAAGGTCTAATCCGTAGGGCAGGATGTGGAGTTCTGTCTGTTGACTCAGTCCTGAAGTCCCTGGGACCCTGGGTTTCAACATCCATCCAGCGGGGCCGTTAGACTTCATCAGCCTACCCTGCATCGGGGGTGCTGGAAGTTCCTCCGTCAGAATCAGTGATGTTGAATGTCAAAGCAACCTGAGCCTGGCCACACGCAAACCTACTGAGTCTGACTCCACAGTGGGCCCAGGTAGCCATGTGTTCAGCTAAGCCCGCAGCTGGTTTCTTCAGGCACCATGTTGGGGCTGGTGGACTCCAGATGGTGCCTAAGGCCTCTCCCCACTCTGAGGTCTGGACTGATTTAAGATTTGGGACTCAGGCTGGCATTTTCTGGATGCTGGAAAAGACCATCAAACGACCACTCGCTCAGGTTCCTAAGAGTAAACGTGAACACCCCTCCCAAATCCATAAATCACAGTAAAAAGCTGTCTTTCTGGACAATGGCTTTAGCTTTAATTTAGTTTGCATTTCTTAGCTGTAATGCCTAATTAAGACATCTGTTAAATGTCTATAATATTAGTTTAATAGAGGGGGTTCTAATAGAACCGTATTGGATTTGTCCATTTAATTAACCTCGTGGGCCTTTAATGGATGGCTTAAATAGACACCATTAACAAGAGTGCTAGACAAATTAAAATTAGAGTCAATAACATTCTCGGTAATTTTTCCTGAGCTGTGAAGGACAGGCATTACAGAGGAGATGGGCGCAGAGATGGGCTGCACACAGTGATGGTTGGACTTGCTGTCCCCAGAAGGGGGTCCCGAATGGACGGGCCCCAGCTGGGGTCCAACCATCCTGTATCCTTCCTGGTCAGCTCCCAGAGAAGGGACCACTCTCCACCTATACACAGGTGGCAGTTCTCAGGAGTGGAGGCCAGAGAAGGGACCACTCTCCACCCACACACAGGTGGCAGTTCTCAGGAGTGGAGGCCAGAGAAGGGACCACTCTCCACCCACACACAGGTGGCAGTTCTCAGGAGTGGAGGCCTGCTGACCTCTTCATGCATCTTTACAGCCCAGGCTTCTGGCCTACAAGAGGTGTTCAACAACTGTCTGTAGAGGAAAATGTAAAGTCTGCCCACTCACACCACCCCCTGGGTCAGCAGATGTCCTAGCCTGTGGGCCACACTCCCACTGCCCTCCACCCCAGCCAGCACCCATGGTCTCTCCGTGACTCAGGGGGAAACCCCAGAGCCATCCTTGATTCCTCACTGCACCCACACCCAGCCTCACTTCTCATCAGGCCCTGTGGCTCTCTGTCCACACCCCACCCAGCCCCACCCTGGCCTCCCTGCATCCGCCTGTGCTGGGCCCACCACATCCCAGGGGCTTTGGTGAAGCGTGACTCAGATGTGTCACTGGGCTTAACACCACATGTGACTTCCTGAGCTGACCCCGGCTGCTTCTCTCCCCCTGGTGGGGAGTCCCCCAGCCTGGTGCACACCAGCACTCCTGTCGTGTTACCCTAGCTCTGGTTTTCCGCGTCCTTCTCAGCACTGAGGCTGCCCCTTGTTTGCTGTCACTGTCTCCCGCTGGAGTGCAGG